AAACAACCGGGCGGCTGGCGCTTATTTCTGGTTTCTTATTGACAAAACCACTCAACTCTTGGTGGCTCTTAGTGGAGGGTCAAATGTAACAAATTTTCACTGAGTGGCTCTTAATTGAGGGTGGCGCTTATTTGCGGATTTTTACGGTAGTTCACTGTTGCATAGAACAGGATACTGTGAAATAATTTATTTTCACTGGAATTAATTTTTGCTGAAAAGACTTTTTGGGTATTTTATATGGAAATTATTTTCACTGATTTTTGGTGAGCTGAATGTAAAATATAGGAAAAATAGTGTATTCGCTAGATTTTATTTTCACTGAATCACTCCTTCAGTGAAAATAGCGAAAATAAAGTATTTTACAGTCGATCAAAAAGTGCCTTCTCATTGGTTGTCTGCTAACAACATCATGCTACTCATTAGCATAATTACCACCATGAAAACGTTTTGGTAACTAAAAATGTTGTAGCAAAATTGACCAGTTTTGGAAATTGGCATCAATTTTACAAATTCGTTTTCATAAAAGAAATTATCATATAAAACAATAACATTTTCATGGGGGAGAAGTGTATGCTAGCATTGCCCATCACTGAACCACCTGGTGTAGTTTCACTGTTGTTGTCACTCACCCAATTAACACTTGCATTGTATTTGTTTACACAGCCGGAATTCAACAGTGGGAGTCTTACAGAACGATGTAAGGTATACGATAGGTTTCATGGTACCTCCTCACAGCATGCAATCAAACTAGCATTTTTGAAAAAGATTCACAGGAAAAATCCGCCAAATGAAAGGTATCGACCACCTAGAAGGAAAACCATACAGGTATGGATTATATTGTACCCATAACAATACCCTTATCTTTAAAGCGAGAAGGTCGCCATCTGCGCACGAGCGGCGATAACAACACACACTAAAAACGCAAAAGCTTGTTTGTAAACAATGACATGATATGGCCATCTGACGCATGTGCAGGTGACGACTCCCCCGCTTTAACATTTCTACATACCACCCCCATCCCCCAACATGCTTATCGAAAATTTAAATGCAATTCAAATCACGCTTATACAATATTTACTTGTTTATATAAAACCAGATGTGTGTATAAGGCCATACAAATTCATATTGCAATGATCCGGCATACAATACATTCACTTTAGTGGAGATGTCCTTCTCATAGAGCCAAATACGAAATGGTACCATTTTAGGGAAATAGTTGGCCCACTTTATTGCAGCAAGACTTGTGATAGACAATCTGGTTATTATTTCCTCACAGGTTCCCCAGGCTATAAAATCCCATTATCAGTTACCACCTCCACTGCTACCTCCAGCTCCTCGTCAGACATCATTCCAGTCCATTTCATCGTCAAAAACGCAGGGTTTTCATTCTTCACCAGAGGAACAAGAAGAGGTAAGATTCGTTTGAATTGTTGTAGAGTGTGATGTGATCAGTAAAAGTGTCATTATTCAGCGTGAAACTTATGACAAAAGGATTAATACAATAATGAAATAAAATGTTGTTTGTAAAAGTATTACCGTAAAATCTGCATTAGAAGCCGCATCTGTAATAGAAGTTTCACTTATTCTTTTTGAATAATTGAGAATAAAAAATTCATCATTTCTCATAAGTGTGAATGCTCGAATAGAAGCCATACCCCCTCTGTTGCATTGTACTATGTTAATAGAAGATGGGGTTTCTAATACAGATTTTACAGTACTAGTAGTACCGTAAAATCTGTATTAGAAGCCGCATCCCTAATAGAAGTCGCACCCATTCTTTTTGAATAATTGAGAACCAAAAATTCGTCATTTCTCATATGTGTAGATGCTCTAATAGAAGCCTCATCCCCTCTATTGCATTGTACCATTTTAATAGAAGTCGCGGTTTCTAATACAGATTTTACAGCAGTCACAATTGCAAGATCTTATTTAAAAATAAAAATGACGTAATTGTAGAACTTGGAACATGATGATACATTTCCAACCTCAACTGCGTTACTTTGCTGTAATATTTGTTTATTTCAATGCCACAACAGTTATAAATACATTTGATGTTATTGTAGTTTTTGTTTACTCTTCTTTTGTTAAGTCTTCGTTAATAGTTACATGACGTTATGACATAATTTGAAACAGCTATTGTTGTGTTCAGTCAGTGTTCTTAATTCAGCTTGCTTAAAACAATAATGAAATAAAACATATGACACGTATGCAGTGTAATAATCTGCCTTGCTTTCTTCAGTGTCATATAACCCATTCTTAATGCACAGAGTAGCTGGAATGATGGTTCTTATTTCCCCATCTATCATGTAATATGGTTCTTTGCCGTCAATCTGAGTAATATATGAATGTAAAATAAATAAAATTATCATATTTGTTGATTAAATGTTTATTTCATTGGTGCATATACCTATATAATTATTTTTGTTTTTTTTTCTTTTCTTGTTTACCTCGCAGTGGTTAAAAAGTGTTGTGGCATTACAGTGTAGCATCGCAAGGTTTCTCACGCAGAAGTCCAAACCGTCGTCGGATATTAAACCTAAAATTGAACAAAACGCAACCAAATCAGGGAATAGCACACAATTGAGGACAATGACTTCAACAAGCTCACTGTCAAGTTTGAGCTCTTCATCTAGTAGTGTAAATATTAACGGAACTCTTGAAGAAGACCAAATAAACAATAACAAAACATTAGTCAACAAATCCAACCTTACTAACGGACCTTTACATAATGGACCTTCTGGAATTAATGGCAGTGCTACAATCGTTAATGGAGCCGATGAACTGGACTCAGGGGTGGATATCAAATCTAAAACATATCTGAATCATGCTGCGAATAATTCCATTGTTTTTAATAAACTTTCAAGCGGGGCAACTTGTACGAAACCTGTTGCAAGTAACAAGCCCAATGGGCAAGTTCGGACAGCTGTTGCTGGCGTGCCAGCGATGTCAACACAGAGTACTAAAAGTTTTACAAGTCTTGTGAATAAATCAACTGCTAATGTGACAGTACTGCCATCTCCAAAAATGCCAATACCAGCAGCTGCCAAGACTGCAACGTCTGCGACTGCGACTACATCAGGTCTGAAAGCAACAACTAGTGATTGCTCACCAAACAAGGTCATATCTACACCAATGACAGGTAAATATGCATAGTAAATTTATTCCTAGTGTCTCGTTACAAGAAAGTCATGATGCTGTAACCTCTCAATTTGAAGATATTTGGGGAAGTCGTCATGTGCGCATGTGGCAAACGGCCATAGTGTGTTGTTGTTTACAAACAAATATCTACCCATGAGCCTTTGCATTTTAGCATGCGTAGTGGTCACTTGGGACTCAATTCCCACGCATATGCATGTGACGCAACCCCTCCACTTTAACAGTCATGAAGACAAAATTACACAAATGTCGCTGACATGCCATGTCGTAGGACCCCAAGGAAATTTTCACAGCTACAAAATTTTCACTGGCTCCGCAAAATTAAAGCAGTTACAGTGGACAGTTTTATCTGAGTTAGAAGTTACATTTTCTGTGTTGCCTGTTGCTTTATGCTAGCTGCTTGATTTTTTTTTTAAGCTTGGCTTACAATTTAACAAAGAATAAAAACATAAAGTTGTTCTTGCCCCAGCTCTCTTAGTAATGTGTGCACTTATGTAAATGACAAAGGTGTGTCTATGTCCAAATTAAATTATATTTTAATAATTCAGTATACTTTCTGTTCAATTTTGCATTGTAACTCAGACTTAAGTTCTTAGGGTGGATAAACTCCAAAACCATCCTCGCCCAAATGCCAAAACATTTTTGTCCAAACCCCCAAATCATTCTTGCCCTTACATTTCTTCACTTTTTCTAAACAAACAAAAACATTTGCTCATGACTATAATCACCCAGCTCCTAAATTTTGGCTTATTCTAGTTAAAAGCGCAGTAATTATCTTGTAACAACTGCCACTAATTAAATCCATATGTTGCATTTGATTTGATGACAATCCTTTATTTCAGGTAAGACCAGTCCACTAGGTGGGGCATCGTTGAATTCTCTCTCCAATAAACTAAACACTGCCAACTTGAGTACATCACCTGCAATTGTTAATCTAAATAATACTTTACAAGCTGGAATAGACGGCGTACCAGGTAAGACAATACTTGACAGCCATGAAGATGGGCGTGTTCTTGTCCACATTGCCCTGATTATTCATGTTCTCTACTTCTTATGGTCTAACTAAGAAACTAATATTTATCAATGTGGATTAGACTTTGCAAAAATATTAAAAAAAATCTAATCCTTTTTTTTTCAAAAATTGGGTGAGGAGATTTTTTTGCTGTAAAATGTTTGTCAGAGTGCAAATTTTCCAGGTCAATAGAGGGTGCTGTGTAGTGGCAAAATAAGTGAGGAAAAAAGATTGGCCCGCACAGAAACATAACTTTGTACTTGATTAGTGGACCATGAGACGAATGATCATTACTTGATTTCAGTGTGGTGTTTAATAAGAACAATGGGTGAATTGCACCATTTGCTATGAAGAATCATAGAACCTATAGTCAAGCCTTGTGTCTATGGTTTGATATGTGGTGACAGATCAAATGCATGTAAAATACATTTACACAAAACTGCATAGTGCAATATTGATGGTTCAAAGTAGTTTGTTGCCATTAAAAAACATCCTTGAAATCCTGTTAAGGGGTCGGGTTACTGCAATGCTCAAAGTTTACTGCACTAGGTTTTCCATAAAACGAACCCAAAAATTGATCAAAAATGCGCGTTTTGAGTGTATCATGTTCTATAGGGGGACATTAAGAATTCTTTTACTTGCGAAAACAGCCAACACCATCAGTTGCGTCAAATGATGAGATTTTACCGAGACTTTTTAAGTTTAGTGTTAATAGTCTGCAGAGCTTTTCCAGTCGGGCTTAGAAAAAAAGAGTGGGAAAATGTCCAAAAATTGGAAAATAGGAATAATGTTTGCAAATTCATCCATGTAAGAACTTGAAATGCAGCTAGAACAAACTGGAAATCTAAGTTTCTAAACTGACAGTGAATATGTCTCATTATTAGTATGCTATTTCTTTGTATTGCTGTGCACGTCATTGTTATATTTTTGGATTAAAACTCCTGATAACACTGTTTTTTTTTTCACAGATGTAGAATTAACCAAGTTGGATGAACGGTTAATACAAATACTAGCATATCAAAGACTACAGCAGCTACTACCCCATAAGGTTGGTATTCCAAATGTACACACACACAACTTCGGTCCATGGTTGCTCATTGGGGTGCCCTCTATGGTCAGAAAAAGCTTTTAGCTAAACTGATCATAAACTCGCCGTTTTGTCATGAATTTTAAGCATATATACGAGTAATACAGTAAAGTATTTAACCAGATTAATTTTTTGTTCAGCATTTGGGGAATAGGTAACAAAAGCTCAGATAACAATGGTATTGTTAATCAAGCTATAAATCTCATTTTGGCACATTTTCGACTTCTTCTCCAGAACCGCCACATTGCTTTGATTATGTTATGATTTTTTTTGTTATTATTTTTTCACTTCCTCATACATTATATATGGGCTATGTACAATGCATGGACTCCAGTAGACAACTGTATCAGTTGGAAGCTAGGCTCTCTTGGAAAATTAACTGGATGGGCCAACGTTTTCCAGAAATGTTCAAGTTTAGGTCCAGGTCATTTCAAGGTTTATACATTTGCTGCTTTTATATGGGTGGTACTGAACAGTGAGGGTGGGAGGGACTAAAACACTTTCCTAAAATCTCAAGGCCAGGTCAGGGTCTTCTCGAGGCCCAGGTCAGTGGTTTATATTTCATAGGTACATTCATAACATGTTATGTTAGATAAATGCTTGCATCTCAGCCTTGTAAAAAAGATTTGTGTGGACGACAACTAGCTAGGCATGCCTCAAAAAATTCACAAGTATTTTTGTAAAATGTACACTAATAAATCCTGCTCTTGAACTGTAAACTTGAAACAGGATTCGTACACCAGGGATTTAAAGCACTTCTCTGTTGTATACACGGTTTTCAGAACAAACAATGCTCCGTCGTAATCAAAACTTACTGTTGCAGTCACAGTTTAAATATAAATCGTTACTGTAAAATCTTTATTAGAAGCCATGCCTATGCCTGTCAATGCAACAGAGAGGATGAGGCTTCCCTTGGCTTCTATACATATGGGAAATGGTGAATTTAGCAAACCAGTCAGCAACTTAGCTGGTAATGTTGCTGTTTTGGTGTTAGAAACAATATACATGTAACAATGACAGTAACTGAACACGAAATTCTATTATTTTCGGTGTTATAATATATGTCTATTAATTTTACAGCAGCCAAGCACTCCAATAAAGAAAGCAACCACTAGCAATGTAACAAGTCCAAGTTCACAGCCAGCTCCTCAACTACATGCTAGAGCCATGTTGTGTCCACTAACTGGTAAAGGTGCTCCAGTTTCCATGTGTTATAGGACTTTACATATAGGCACAGGTAAGGTTTTCACATGTTACATGCCTGTGACTTGGGTCCCAGATTCTGCCAAATGAGGAAATTGATGAGCAGACACCAATTAATTTGAATAAATGATGGCTGACAGTGCACCCATGGGCTAGTATTTGCAGCAATCAAAGAACATTCTATAACCTGGTCACTATCGGCCTCAGAGGTGTCAGAACTGTTGTGTTGAACCTAGCCCTAGTGTTTGTTTTTATCATCATGTTCAATTCTGCAATTTGCTCGCCCAATTAATACTGCACTTTTATTT